GGTAGATTAAGAGAGAGGGTGGGAGGTCTACTCTCAGGGACAGTGAGGGGAGAGTCACATTCCCGCCCACTCGGCTTGGACTTGCCCTCTTTGCTTCTGCCTCCCAGGAGCAGCTCCCACCAACCAGGAAGCTCCAGCCCAGGTTCCCTCTGAGGGCTGGGATTCTGAGATGGAGAGAAGATTCCAGAAGGTTCTGGATTGGGTGAGGAATGGAGAGGAGGTTGCAATTCAGGTTGTGCTTAGGGACAGGGCTGTGATCAGAGGTAGGGACTGAAATGACCTTTTTAAGACCCAAATGTGCTCCTGTCACCCCCATGCCGTCCAACCCCAGCTGAGGCCTGGTGGCTGCTCCTTCTGACCTTCCCGATAATGACGTCATCCATTCACGTAGCTCCCGTGGCCTGTCTCCTAGGTCTCGTCCCAAAGCAAATCACCCTCTTCCTCCTCGAGCTTCCATTCTAGGAAGACAATACAGCTTACTAATGAAGTAAATAAAATATTATGCTGGTGATCGAGTACTGAGGAGAAGCAGGGAAGGAAATTTTAAAGTATAAGGGAGCAAACTTTAGATAGAAAGGGGTCAGGGAAGAGCCCTTCAACAAGAGGACTTTTTGAATAAAGGCATGAAGGAAGTGAGATCATTCCCCTTGCAACCTCAGGGCCTTTGCACATGCTGTCTCACTCTACCACTTGGACCGGGTTAAGTTTCCTCTTCCTTCTGATGTTAGCATGATAAGGGCTTCATCAAAGAAGGCCAGATTTCACGATTAATGGCTCCACGGCACCGCAGCTAACATCTTTGACTGGTGCCCATCCTCCCCACTGGATTAGACTGTCCTCCGTTTGGTTGGGTTTTCTCCCCACCTCCCGGCCCAGTACCCAACACCTGGTCTTGAAACGTGATTCTTAATGGTAGGTGGGCTGGTGTGATGAGGGTGAGGAGGTCAGGGCTGAGAAGCACATCACGGATGGGGCTGGACTAGGGGGAGACTCAGAGAGGAGAGCTAGATTGGGGTAAGAACCAGGTGGGATGAGGGTTGGGGAAGAGGAACTGATTAAGGGGATGGAGACAGGATGGGTGAGAAGGCTGGGGATAGTCGTGCCTGTGTATGACTGTGGGTGACTGGCAGGGCTGTCTCATCTGTGTGGCACAGTGCTGCCCTGGGCTGAGGACCAGGAGCTGTCAGGCAGGTCAAGCCTGCCCTCCTGGGCTCCGCTCAGCCACCCAGATGACTCTTGGGGGATGCTAGGAGCCTGATGCTGCAAATTTGCATCATAAGATGCAAATTCCAAGCCAAGTTTTCCCAGCCTCGACCTGGCAGCCACTCCCCTTTCCTCGAGACTGTGCCCCCAGGGGGCTGCTAATCTTGGAGCAGGGCGGGGTGGCTTGGGGATTGAAGCTCATTTCCAGGCCCCTCTGGGACACAGAGTCCCTGGGGGAGTGGGGGTGAGAGGCCCCTCCTGAACCTTGTAATCCAGTGGTAAAATCACATAGTGGGGTGTGGGGAGGAGGCAGGGCACCTGCAAGGTAAAGGGAGAGGGGAATTTGGGAGAGCAGGACAAGGAGCTGATGGTGTAGAAGTGTTTGGGTGTCATCCCAAATGGTGGGGATCTACCTCCATCCCCCAAAAGCTGCCTCCTCAAATCATAACCCACGATCAATAGGTACCCCCCCCAGCCGATCCTTTTGTCCCCCAAAAGCAAGAGCACAGCAGCCCTGGGTTTGATCAGGACAAGGGTCTGGAGTGGGGATTCAGTCCCTGAAGGAAATGGAAGGAGGTGAGGACAGTGGGGGAAGGGACACGAATGCGGCTGTGCACCTGAGCACGTGGATGAGACTAGGCATGAGAATGAAGATGGGGCGCTCCCCACGTACGGCCCAAACGTGGATGCGTGCCTCTGGGTAGGTGCTCACTGGGCTGAAAAACTGGTTCTCCTGGACCAGGGCCGGACCGGGGAGCAGGGGAGGTCCCTGGGAAGGACGCGAGCACGCCGGGTTGGCTCGCAAGGGCCACCCACACAGGAAGCTGAGTCCTCATGGCTGGGCACCCCCTGCTTGCCCCACCCCAAGCCCTGCAAGGAGGGGAGCAACCCCTGGGGCCCCGCCCCCCAGGATAGAAAAAAATCAAATGGGGTCACTCTCCTGCTTAAAACTCACCGGCACATCACACGGTATTGCCCTTAGAATCAAATCCAAGGATGCAGTGTGGACGTCAGGACTGCGGGTGACCAACGTCCATCCACTCCTCTGTCACCTTATCCCAGCAACTCTGGCCCTCTGTTCCTTGAGCACGTGGTCTGTAACACCTCTGCCGCCCCCCTCACCCCGCATCTCCCTTACCTCCCCACTGGGCTGTCTCTAGTGGTTTGCTCTTATCCCAGTCTCAACTAGTCCACACTTGCCCCGAGTGGCTCTCCAGGACCACCAGACCTCAGTGTCACCCCACCCCCAGTCCTGCTAACACAGCGTCCTGTTGCATCTCCCAGCCCCACCTGCGGGCTCTGGAAGGATTCATTTGTTCCTGGGCTTGCCGTCTGTCTCCCTGGCTCCCGACCCAACAGGGAACGGCATCTAGGACACAGGAGGCTTGAGGCAAGCGGATCCTAGAATGCCAGCACTGGAAGGGACTTTCCAGGTCTACTTGTCCCTCCCGTTCATCTGCCACATTGGGGCCACTGAGGTTGAGGACTTGCTCAACACCAGCTGGGAAAAGAGGCTGGCATGCTTCCATCCAGCCTCTGCCACAGTCCCAGCCACACAGGGGTGCCTCTGGCTAGTTCTTAGTCCTTTGATCTTGTTCTTTTTTTTTTTTTTTAGGTTTTATTTCTTTATTTGAGGGGAGGGGCAGGAGGAGAGGGAGAAGCAGGCTCCCCACTGAGCAGGGAGCTCCACGCGGGGTTCAATCCCAGGACCCCGGGATCATTCCCTGAGCCAAAGGCAGATGCTTACCCCACTGAGCCACCCAGGCGCCCCCCTTCGATCTTGTTCTAAGGTGCACAGAGTCTGGGGATTTGGCTAAATTCTCAGGTCGGAACCTGCAGGTGAGACATTCCTGAGCACTCCTGCTCCTGCAGCCTGGCATGGGGCTGCACCTCCAGGGATCACAGGGAAAGGAAGTGGGAACCCCACCTGCGGCATGGCCCCAGACTGTCCTTTTCCACCCCCAGCCCTCGTCCCCTCTCCCCAGGGGCAGCCGGAGAAGGGGTTTGGCTGAACGGTGGTGGGGAGACGATTCTTGGGCCTGAAGGGGACAGGGAAAGGGATGGGCAGTGCTGTTGTCTGGGTCTGTAGGACCATGGCTGCTCTGGAGTTTTGGCACAGCAGGGGGCCAAGGATGACCATTTTGGAAAGGAAGTTCGGTCCCTGGGTTCTCGTGGGGCTGACATAGCTCGGCCAGCACCTCCCGTCATCCTCAACCCTGGCCTCCAAGGTCAAGGCAGCTGGAGGATCCCCACTAAATGGGAGAATGAGCCAGGCAGTGCTCTGGCGCAGGGCTGGGAGACTCTATAGCCTAGCAAAGCCCTCACCCAGGGGACTCTCTGGTTGGGTCACCAGTTATGGCAACAGAAAAGCCATGGGATGGATTCCCCTGCCACCAGCGCTGGAGGGATGGAGGAACATTTCCCGGGTCCGTGGCCGAAGACACAGTGACTCTGGCCAGAGAGAGGCCGTGACCAGGGTTTGTCAGGCACAGAATTTGACTCTGGAGGCAGAGGAGGTAAAGGGGCAGGATCCAAAGTCCGGGGAAATGGGACAAAGGGAAGGGGTCATTGGGTGGCTGTGGAGAGAGAAGTTACCCATGACTGAGCTGAGGGCCGCACAGATCTTTCTTTCTTTAAGATTTTATTTATTTATTTATTTGAGAGAGAGAGAGAGAGAGAGAGAGAGAGAATGAGCCAGGGGGAGAGGCAGAGGGAGAGGGAGAAGCAGGCTCCCTGCTGAGCAAGGAGCCCTATGTGGGTTTCAATCCTAGGATCCCAGGATCATGACCTGAGCCGAAGGCAGATGCTTCACTGACTGAGCCCCCCAGGCGCCCCAGGATTCTATTTCTAAGGGCTTCGGAGCTGCAAGGGAGGACATCAGACTCCCCAGATTGCTATCTGCATCGGTAATCCTGCAACCACAAACCATCTAAAGTCAGCGGTGGGACCCAGGAAAGTGTATTTCTCGCTCAGCTCCTGGCCCAGGCCGGGTCAGCAGGGGAGCTCTGTCCTTCTCCCTCCGAGACAGCAGCTGATGGCTACGCCATCTCCACGTAGGCTTCTAGAACAGCAGAGACAGAGAGACAGGAGCTCTAGAGGGTCTCACGCAAGTGACTAAGTGCCCCGGGCCGGAGGGGACCCACATCCCGCGGATCCCTTCCCCATGGAGCTGGTTGACCAGAGCTCGTCCTGACTCCACCCAACCACCAGAGGCCCGGAGACTGAGTCTTCCCCGCGTCCAGAAAAGTAACCAGATCCTAGCGGCAGCGCTAATAACTCCCACACCCAGAAGCTGGGTTCTCAGGGTTTGCAAAGCACCTGCTTTTTTCCTATCGGCCCTGTGAGTCTGGATATCCCCTCGCCTCCGGATGGGTGACACACTCTGGGAGATGAAGGCAAGAAGGCGGGGCCTGGCTAGGCGCTGGGTTGAGCTGGGAGGCCCCTGTCTTCGGAACAGACGGTCCAAGATCTCGCTGCTGCTCCCTCCTCCTCCCACCCCCTCCCACCCCAGCCACACACACACACACACACACACACACACCCCAAAGCAAAAATGAAATGGGAGCCAAATATATTGGACTTTATTAAATTCATTGGGCTCAAGGACAGGAAAACAGCAGGGAGGGGACAGGACAAGGGCTGGGGAGGGTCCCCGCACACACCCAGACTCCCTGGCCTGCAGCTAGAGGTCCATGGAAGCTGAGCTCTAATCCTAACCCTCCCCTTAAAGATGCTGATGGGGTCACCGAGGACCCCAGAGCAGACCCAGGGCATGCATCGTTTCTTGACCATTTTCCAGGTTCTTCCAGAGAGGGAAGTTAGACTGGTCGGTCCTAGGTTTGGAGGAAAGCTGGAGGGAAAAAAGCGACAAGGTAAGAGGAAGAGTTTGAAGACGGGGGTTACAGGAAGGGGGAGCTCAGAGTCCCTGTGGGGTTCCCAATGGGAGGAGGTAGGTTCCCACAGGAGAAGTTAGGAGCCTGCCCCAAGTAGAGCACGGGGTGATGGGCTGCCTTTCTCTCGAAGGACCTGCTGTGCCCTCAACCTTAGGCAGCGGCTTCTCACCGTGGACGCTGCTGTGCGGGTCCCTCACCGCTCAGGGCCCACCTGTAGGAAGCTAGCGCCGCCCTGGGTGGAAACGACCCCAGGTGCAGCGAAAGTCTGGCTGAGCCGGAACGAGAGGACCCTGACAAGCTGGCCCTCCTCCTGTGCTGGCGCTGGAGCCTTTCTTCCAGGGCTGGGAGAGGAGGGGGTCAGATGGACACGCTGTTCTCGATGAGGGGAGGGTCCAGGTAGGCGTAGGGCAGCTCCAGCCCCTGGTTCCGCTCCCGGATCTCCCGCGAGATCTGGGCCAGGCGGTTCTGGAAGGCGGCGATGCTCCGCCGAGGGGCCTCCTCCGTGAAGTGCTCGTCCGGGTAGGTGCCCAGGGGCCGCTGTTAAAAAACCCAGGGGCGGTCAGGAGGACATTGGGGATGAGATGAAGGAGAGTGAAGGACCACGTTGGCTACCGCACAGTCACGGTGGCTCCAAGGGCTTCACCCAGAACAGCCACTGCAAACTCAGACCATCCCGGAAGCCACTATTCCCCACTCCGGGGAGCTGCGCAGAGCGGACCCGACACCCTGCAACCCAGCGGGGGCGAGCGGCAGGAATGGTCAGCCTGAGGCTAGAGCTCCCTCTGCTGGTAACCCTCTGCCTAACAGTCCTGCTCGGAGACCGTTTCTGCACCGGGAAGCCAGGCCTTGGACCAGACATCTTTAAGGGTCCCCTCCAGGGGCGCTGGAGGGCTCAGTCTTTAAGCATCTGCCTTTGGCTCAGGTCATGATCCAGTCCTGGGATCGAGCCCCGCGTCGGGCTCCCTGCTCGAGGGAAAGCCTACTTCTCCCTCTTCCGCTGTCCCTGCTTGTGCGCTCTCTCTCTAGCAAAAAAATAAAATCTTTAAAAGGTGGTATGGGAGTTTCACTTTACACTGAGTGTTCATCAGTAATGACTGTCCGTACTTCCCAAATGTTTCTTTCACGTATTGAGATGATTATATGGTGTTACTTTATTGATGTAATAAATTACATCGTTAGATTTCATCAGGGTGAACCGACCTCTCATTCCTCTCATTCCTAGAATAAACGAGACCTCAGTGTGGCATATTATTGTCTTACTATGTAGTATTGGCCTTCATTGACTAATGATGTATTTTTAAGATCTTTGCAGCTAAGTGGAACACGTTTATAATTTCATTTTCTTAATTACAGCTAACACGTTGCAAGCCCTTGACATGGACTATCATGACAGCGCAACAATCCTGTTAGACAGGTGCTCTTATCATTCCCACTTCACAGATAAAGAAACTGAGGCTTGGAGAGGCCTGATTACACATCTAGGGTCACACCGGGGGAAGATCTGGGACTGGGACTTTCTACCAAAGACCCACTTCCCTTCTTAACAGCATCACCTTGGCCGGCGGCAGTTATCAAGGGTCCCAGTAACATGATTTGGGGAGTGTCCACTTTTTTTCCATACTTTAGAGAAGTCTGAGTGACTTAGGAATGACTTGGTCCTTGAAGGTTGAGTAGAACCCCCCTTTGCAAGAAGGGGGATCAGACCTTTTACACCTTTTTCCATTTATGTGTGGTTTTCATCTCTTCTGGTGTCAATTTTTCTTTATCATTTTCCTAGAAAATCATCTCTTTCACCTCGATTTCCAAAACTGCAAGTCGTGTTTTCTTTTAATTTCTTCAACCTTCTCAATTATTGGCTGTTTGCTTTTCCACCCCTCTCAAATGTTGTACATTGGTCTCTCTCTCGTCTCTTGTCTCTCTTGATTGGGATTGTCTCTGGTTTCTTTATTTTATTGGTCTTTTCAAAGAATCAGTGTTATGTCTTATTTACTGGATTGACATCTAACTCCTAAAATGATAGGGTAGGGGCACCTGGGTGGTTCAGTGGGTTAAGCCTCTGCCTTTGACTCGGGTCATGATCTCAGGGTCCTGGGATGGAGCCCTGTATCAGGCTCTCTGCTCAGCAGGGAGCCTGCCTCCCCCACCACCACCACTGCCTTCCTCTCTGCCTACTTGTGATCTCTCTCTCTCTCAAATAAATAAATAAATAAATAAAAATAAAACGATAGTGTAGCTGTCCAAAAAGCAGAAACATGGAACATGGAAACACAGGAACATGACAGGCTGGGTTAAAAGCCTGCGTACTAGCTCTGTGACCTTGCGCAACGTACTTAGTGTCTCTGAACCAACTTGCTTAGTTTTCTTCCCTGTAAAATGCAACTACCATTTGGGGTGCCTGGCCAGTTCCACTGGTGGAACGTGTGACTCTTGATCCTAGGGTTGTGAGTTGGAGCCCCACGTGGGGGGGGTAGAGTTTACTTAAATTTTTTTTTTTAAGGGGGCACCTGGGTGGGTAAAGCCTCTGCCTTCAGCTCAGGTCATGATCCCAGGATCCTGGGATTGAGCCCCGCATCGTGCTCTCTGCTTAGCAGGGAGCCTGCTTCCCCCTTTTTTCTCTCTGCCTGCCTCTCTGCCTACTTGTGATCTCTGCCAAATAAATAAATAAAATCTTTAAAAAATTTTTTTAAATCTTAAAAAAAAAGGAACTACCACCTATTGAACACCTATATGTTGGGCACTGTACTAAGCATTTTAAACAAAGCTCCTTACTTACTTCGTATTTTAAAATAGCATACATAAGGTATCTGATTTAATGACTGAGACATGCTGGATCCCCAAAGAGCAATAGCTACTGTTACTGTTGTTTTTGCTATTGTTGTAATTTTCTAGGTTAGACCCCCCCCACCCCGACTGGCTTCTAGGAAGGAGCCCTCCACCCTCAACCTCTTGCCTATCATGCCTCACCACCGTGAAGTTGTGGTTTACAGTAAGGAATATACACTGGGGGGGGGGGGCCACCTGGGTGGCTCAGTCATTAGCGTCTGCCTTCAGCTCAGGTCATGATCCCAGGGTTCTGGGATTGAGACCCACATTGGGCTCCCTGCTCCGAGGGCAGACGGCTTCTCCTTTTCCCACTGCCCCTGCTTGTGTTCCCTCTCTCGCTCTCTCTCTGTCAAATAACTAAATAAAAATCTTAAAAAAAAATAAAAAAGGAACATACATTTGGGCTTCCTCCCATCCCTGGCACAGAGCTCCTAAAACCCTTATAATTTTGTAAGCATTTGAGTGTTAAAAATATCTTGTTATCATAATAAGGCCCTTTTAACCACACCTGAGTTTACATTTCATTTGGTGACTTCTGGAAAGCCCCTAAGGATGGGGGTGGTTGCCAGGAAAGCCAACCTTGTAATTAGAGGGTTGGAACTTTCATCTCCAACCCCCAACCTCCAGGGAGGAGAGAGGGGCTGGAGGTTGACTTAATCCTCAGTGGTCAAATGATTCAATCAATGGCACCTAGGTAACAAGGAGACAGAAAAACCCTAGCAGCAGGGGACTGGAGAGCTTCCCAGGTGATGCACATGGGGAGGTATGGGGAGGGCGGGGAAGCCAGGGAGGGCCAGTCAGCCCTGCACCCATTCCCACACACCTCGCCCACCGCATCTCTGGCTGTTCGGAGCTATGTCCTTTTATAATAAACCAGTAATCTAATAGGTAAACGGTCTTCCCTGAGTTCTGTGAGCTGGTACAGCAAATGACCAAACCTGGGCCTGGGGGGGGGTTGTTGTAGAAACCTCTGATTTTTAGCTGGTGGGTCAGAAGCACCTAGGCTTGTGGGTGGCATCAGAGGGGGTTGGCATCTTGTGGGACTGAGTCTGAACCAATGGGACCTGACACTCTCTGCACAAAGAGTGTCAGAACGGAGTTAAATTATCTGACACCTGCTGGTCCCACACGCATTCAGTGGCTAGAAGGAGTGAGTGAAAGTATTGGGAATAGTAATATTCTGCGAGTAGACAAAAAACAAAACAAAACAAAAAGCAGAGTGTTTTCCTTTATAATGAAAAAAAAAAATGAACATCTCCAAGTCCTTGAGAAATGGGACCAGAAAGGAGAAGGATCCAGAGACAAGTTCCTGGCATAGTAATTAAAACTTGTTAGGAAGATAACACACATCTGCACCAAAAGGAGTCAAGCATGAGAAATTACATTCCTGTGACGTCACAGGGCTTGTGCACAAGACCAGGAGGGCAGAGGCGGGACAGATGACCCCACGTGTTAATAGAAATATTGGTAATTGGCGATCAAGGAGCTGCTCTCCTGACCAAGCCGACCTGACAGCCTCCTTGCCTGCTTCTGCCTAGAACTGCCCCCTCAACCATCCACACAGCCACAGAGGCGCTCTTGCTAAAACACAGATTCAGCCATGTCACCCCGGGGGGCTTAAAGCTCTTCAGTGGTTCCCTGTCCTCCTCTGAATGAGCACTGTGCCCGCACTGAACCATTTGCAATCCTACCAACACACCAACGGACTCACCTTCACTTCATTTCACTTGGTTGTGTCCTTCCCCCTGCCTAGAAACTAACCCTGCCCTTCCTTTGTCTGCCAAGCTCTTACTTGACCTGCAGGTTTCAGCTTTGATGTCATTTCCTCCAAGAAGCCTTCCTGGGTTTGCCCAGACTCAGTCAGGTTCCACAAGTCCCCATTCTCACCTCTGTTACGAGACTAAGCTCATGAGGATAGGGTTCATATCTGCCCACCAATGTCTGACACATTGCAAATGCTCATGAAGTACACATTTGTACATAAATGATTCCTACAACACTGTGATGCCCTTTTTCATGTCCCTGTGTGTCTCCTCAAGTAGACTGTTGGATTCCAGAAGGCAGGAAGGTCTCATTCAGCTTTATATGCCTGGTGCCTGGTGCCATCTTGACATGTAGGGAGTCCCCAAAATAACATGTGGTGAATATTTAGATAAATGGATGGAAAGTTAATGGATGAATGGTTGGTGGATGAAGAAGTGGGTGGAAGGATGGATGGATGGATGCATGGATGGAAGGATGGTTGGATGGATGGATGGATGGATGGATGGATGGATGGATGGATGGATGGATAGGTGGATGGGTGGGTGGATGGATGGATGGACAGATGGATAGATGGATGGATGGAGGGAGGGAGGGAGGGATGGGTGGGTGGATGGATGGAGGGAGGGAGGGATGGATGGATGGGAGGATGGATGGACAGATGGATAGATGAAAGGATGGATGGATGGATGGATGGACACATGGGTGGATGGGTGGGTGGGATAGATGGATGGATGGATAAACAGACAGATGAGTGAGTGGATTGGTAAACTGGCGAATTTGATAGACATTGTGTCCCAGCCACTAAATTGGTGTTTGTTCCAATGTATGTCTTTGGGGATCAACTATCATTTCCTAAGGAAACCAAGGAACCCAAGCAAGCTCAGCAATGGGCATAAATGACAGCACTCAGTGCCCAAGCCCCCCTGGAACAGTTACCACCACGGTCACTGCCCAGGCCCTGTAAACCTCCACCCCCATCCCATCCCATACCCCGTACACACCTGATCTTTGGGCTCCTGGCTGACCAACCAGAAGAGGAGAAGGTTGTTACAGGTGACATTCACTTCTGGGAGGGTGTCTAGGTAACTCTTCAGGGTGGCAGTGCCCTTGGTCTGGGGTGGAGGCTGCCTCATGGATGATGGGGTATTGGGCATCCAGGCCCCAAAGTCATGCTGTAGAGACCCCACCCCAGTTGAGTCAGCTGGCCAGAGGGAGAGAACCAGCTCCTTCATCATTCCTGATCCTGCTCCTACCATCCCACGTCTCGCAGTTAAGAAATGAAGGGATGGAGGAAAGGGAAGAGGGAGGGGGTACAGGGTAGAAAATTCCAGAAGTGGGGTAGGAGGCTCACCCTTTGTCACTCCCCACCCAGTGTTCCTGGACTAGGTGGAGTGAATCACCAAGGAAGGAGCAGAACCAAAGAGCTGGCATGCCACCCAGTGCGGCCTGATACTCCCCTTGGCTGTGTCCTTACCAGGACAGGCCCTATAGGTTTTCTTCCCAACAAAATACCAGCTGGAGTCACCATTACAAGCCTGAACCCCACTCCACCCAGACCTCATCCGACACTGACCCTTCACTCCTCCACTCCACCCAGTCACCACCCAACCTCAGCAGCAATCGTAAACCCACCCCAACCCTGACCCACCCATGCTCTCAACCCCAACTCTGGCCTCACGTCCAGGGCTGATCCCAGCCTTGCATAGCCCAGTGCCCCCCAAGCCTGCCCCCTGCCACCTCACCTGCCCACTGTTGACAGCGGCGTGTTGGGCGGAGCAGTTGAAGATGACAGCAGTGAGGAACTTCACCAGCTCTCCTGGAGTACACAGTCGGCGTGGGAAGCCTGGGTGTGGGAGGAAGGGAAAAGGGTGTGGAGGGAGGGGACCAGATTCCTAGGGGCAGCTTGGGGCTGGGGCTCACTGCAAGGGGAGAGTGAGGACGAGAGGGCTGAGCATTTGGCCACTGTTGTCTTTTGACTAGGATTAGGTCTGGGCTGAGGTTAGGGACGGTCGGTCATCACCAAGGTTTGAAGTCTCTGAAGGGGGTGAGGATAGGAGCTATCTTCTGGGATCGGATCAGGAAATGCCCAGCCAGCAGAGCTCACGAGGAAGGAGCCAAGTTCAAGCTGACAGCCAATCTGGCTCTTCTCCCCACGTCTATCTGCAGCCCCTGATAACATTTAATGATCTTTTAAGATTTATTTATTTGTTTATTTGATAGAATAATAATGGGGGTAGGGGCAGAGGGAGAGGGAAATGGAGAGAGAGAATCTTCCCATGGAGCGTGGAACCTGACATGGGGCTTGATCCCGGGAACCCCGAGATCATGATCTGAGCTGAAACCAAGAGCCGGATGCCCAAGAGACTGAACTACCAGGAGCCCCAGCACTTAATGATCTAATTCTACCCAGTTCACCAAGACTTGTCCAAACACCCAATGGCAGAACGTCACAACAGCTGGGCTTAGCAACAAAGGCAGGTGACCGGAGTGCATTACTCATAAGTTCACAGTGATGGAAACAGAAGGGGGCTCCAAGGCCAGGGCTTGGCAATCCGAGGAGAGCCCAGGCAGGGCAGAAACAGACCCTGGGGCTGAAGCGCTTAGGGGAGGCATCCCTGCAGGAAGAGAAGAGTGGGTGAGCTCTGGATAGGAAAAAGATGACAGAGGAAGAAGGCATTTTCAGGCTCAGCTCTGAGTCCTCTCCTCTCTACATCACTGCTCTCATCCAAATCAATGGCTTTGACTGCTTCCCACAGGCCGATGACTCCCAAATTCACACCTCCCGCTCCGCCTGGACCCTGAATTCTAGATGAAGCCATGGGCATAATTGCGGGTACCCCCTGATGCTCCAAGATGGGTGTCTGTGCCACCTCTCAGACAGCTCACCTGCAAACCCTGATGCTTGGTCCCCTCCCTCGCACACTCCCCAGACCCGTCCTGCCCACTGTAGTCCCATTTCAGTGGCTCTATCCAGTCGCTCAGACCACAGCCTGGGTGCTCTTTCCTGTTTTTATCTCACGTCGCACATATCGGGCAATACTTCCAGAAACCAATCCTGTCTCACCACATCCTGGTCTCCATCATGTCGCCCCCGCATGAACCCACCTGCTTCCACCCTTCCCCCCCGACAGCCAGAGTGACGATCCTTTAGAATCATACATCCGATCGCGTCAGCCCCTTGCGAAAACCAGTTATTCGCAGAACTAGCGCTCTCACTTCCTTCAGCTCTCTGCTCAAACGTCACCTCCTCCGAGAGGCCTTCCCGGACCACCTAGCTGAAATAACTCCCTCTATCTCAACGGGCTGTTTCCTTATCCTGAACGCTCCTAGCCCACCCCCTGACATATTTGTTTGTTGATTCTCCAAATCTCCCTGCCAGAATGGGAAGCTGAGTGAAGGCCAGGAGTTCCATCTGTCATGGTCACTGCTGAACCCCGGCCGCGAGAACAATACTTAATACTGAGAGCCCAGTAATTATTGGTCGACAGGAGTGAATGCCTAAGAAGGTAAGAAGGCAGAGCCGAAAGGAATGAGGCATCAGCAAGGCAAAGGGGCAGGGAGGGTCCTTATTGGAGGCGAGGCCTCAGCATGGGCCAGGCCACGCAGTTTCTGGGGAAAATTTTGGAGGACGGTCAGGGTGGTGGCCCCACAGACCAGATGGGCGGGCAGCAAGAGGCTGGGAATGGTGAGTCCTATAGAGAAGCAGCTGCCACACTATGGGAAACGGGATGGGGTGGTGACAGGGGACAGGAGGACGACAAGAGGAATTGGTCACCCAACCGGATTTAGGCAAACAGGAAGACAGAGTGGGAGCCAAAGATGGCTTCAGAGTTCGCAGTCGGGATGCAGAGCCGTGGGGGAAAGACCAGGCGTCTGACTGGGAGTCCCGGGGAATTTTCTGGATGTTCCCTTCGCAGTAGATAGTCTAACCTGGAAGGGCTGAGATTAAAAGGCCAAGGAAGTCAGGCCCTCTGTGGGAATTTTTCTGTAGCTTCTGTCGTTAATTTGTTCCCCATGAAATATGGAAGCAAAAGTCACACTGATTGAAGTTAATTAATGAGTGTGCCTTGCCTTGAACTCCGATAAGCTTGCAGAGTCAGAGACAGGTTGAATAAAGTAAGATAGGAGAGTCATCCAGCAGTAATTAGACCCCTGGCTGCCCCAGGTCTTAAATAAGAGACAGCCCCAAAGAGGAAAAAAAAATGCTCTGGGCTAGGGGAGGAAGCCGTCAGGATCAGGTCAGCCCAGGATTAACAGTGGGCTTGCAAAGCAAGGGGAGGTTCATCCTTTAAAGATCCAAAAGGGGGTGCCCGGGTGGCACAGAGGGTGGTGCCGGGGGGGTGGTGCCTCTGCCTTCAGCTCAGGTCATGATCTCAGGGTCCTGGGATCGAGCCCTGCATCCGGCTTTCTGCTCAGCAGGGGGCCTATTTCTCTCTCTCTCTCTCTCTGCCTACTTGTGATCTCTCTCTCTCTGTCTAATAAATAATAAAATCTTAAAAAATAATAATAAAATAAAGATCCAAAAGGGTGTGCCTGGGTGGCTCATTTGGTTAAGCGTCTGTTTCTGGCTCAGGTCACAATCTCAGGGTCGTGGGATCGAGCCCCGTGTGGGAATCCCTGCTCAATGGGGAGTCTGCCTCTCCCTCTATGGGTCCATATTGGAGTTTATCGTCAATTTTGTCGAGCGTGATGACAGTATCATGGTTCCGTAGAAAAACATTTTTTTGGAGTTGCCTATTGATTTGGAGTAAAATAGGAAATGGGTGTAATTTAAAAGACTTCAGCAATAAACAAAAGCAAGAGATTAATCAAATGAGTACTTGTTGAATCTGGGCGGTGGGCAAATGGGTGTTTGTTATGTTATACTCTCTACTCTATGTTTAAAATTTGTTGTTTAAAGGGAATAAAGAAGTCTCAGAACCTGTAGCTGGTAGTTTTTGTGTGCTGGTCTCAAGGGTGACAACGAGACAGCAGTGAAAATGGAAAGTTCTTCAGGGAATGGGGGGCAGGGGGTTTTCCAAGTCTGGAATCAGCAGCAGAGGAGACATGGGAGAAGGGATCACTCCATTACAGGAGGGTAGAGAGGAAACAGACCCAGTTGGGACAAGCCAATAGTTGGGATGGGGTCATGGCAGAGGCCTGGGAAGAAGTGGGAAGCTCAGAGGATGTTTCCTCCCTAGGGCTAAGGGAAGATGTTAAGGAAGGGAGGATGGTCTGCTGAGGTTAAGCAAAGGAGGTGGAAGAGGGGGCCACTGGAGTCGTGTCAGTGGGTCTCAAAAGCCTCTCGGGCAGTGTCAGAAGAAGAGGGGACGTTAGTGTTAGGTGTTAGTAGGGAAGAACCAGGCAACAGCAGGACCACGTCATTCCATGAGGCCAAAAGAAATGAAAGAGGCTGGTGGATAGAGGGCCACCTGGTGGGACAAGCATGAGGAAGTACGAGAGAAGGTTCCAGAATCCTCAAACTCTGAGGCAGGAGACAGCTCCTACCACGTGATGGGACACATCCACCTAGCTCCGCAGGCAGCAGTGAATGGACAGGCTCAAGTAAAGGTCAAGGAAGAACCAGAGGGTCACAGAGCAGTGGCCGCGAGCAAGGACTTCGGAGACCGTGAGAGCCAGCTCTGGATCCCACCTCTGCCCCTATCAGCAAAGCCTTCTCTATGCCTGTTCCTCATCTGTTCAGCGGGGCTAATGATAGGATGCACTTCAAAGGCTTGTCCCTAAATAAGAACCAGGTAACAGGTGAGGCCAGAGGGAACACCCGGTCTTTGGAGCTGGTGGGTGGGGGATGGGATACCTGAGCTTTCCCGGCCCAGGAACGCCCGAGCAAAGATCTCGCCGACCCAGGCCTGCAGCTCCGAGTCTTGCTGCACAGACACATTGCTGGGGTAATAGTAGCCCACGATTTCTGAGACAAAGCTGCAGGAAAGAGATGCTAGTGCCAAGGGGGAGACCTTGGGCCTGGGCCTCGCCAGAAATCCAAAGCCCAGTGCCACTCAGGCTGGAGAGAGCCAGACAGCCAGTGTCCACCAAGACCCCACCTCAGTCCAGTGGGAGCCCCCAGATCCAGAGGGAACCCGAAGGCCCACGTTTGGGGACTCCTGAGCCATGGGTGCTCTGGGCCTCCTTCCCACCCAGGGGTCTGGGAGTGGGAAGTGCACTGAGGAGGCCCCGGCCCACACCTCACTGTTGCACCTGCCCCCCCCCATTCCTCTGGACTCCCTGTTCTCTCCTTTCTCTGCTGCTGTGTTCATACACAACCCAGCCCCTCCCAAGCCAGCAGTCATTTCATCGAGGACCCCAACCCCAATTCTCGCCCTGGGGGAGCTCCCTGCGGGGACCTGAAGCACCCACGACCCCCAGCCCCAAACTCTCCAGCCTGCATGAGAACAGGGGTCCACACTGCCCTGCCCCCGCCCCAGCCAGGAGGCCCTGGTGGGGCCAGACTGGCTACAGGGTCCTGGGCCCGCGCCCCGCACCTCTCAATGGCCGCCCAGATCCTCAGGCCGTCGTCCCGGTAGTGGTAGTTGGGGATGGCCAGGACGCCGCGGGCCCGCACGCTGTCCGGAAGGCAGAAATCGGTGTAGGTGAAATGGGCCAGAGCCGTGCTTATGAGGTAGAGGAGGCCTTGTCTTCCAACCGAGGTGACCTGAGAACACGCAACACAGCCCGGCTTGGGGACTTGGGGACGAGACGAGGCTAGGGACTCAGCCCTAGGGGTGTTAATCTAGGAGTCCAAGACACGGATCAAACCCCTCTACGGGGACTGACGCGCGCCTCGGAAGCGGCAGCCCTAATACATGCATGGGAGAAATTCCTTAGATATCGGGTAACTGAAAGAAAGCAGTGACGCCGGCGCAGGGGCCGCGGGAGGAGCGATCCTGGGGGGCTGCCCTGACCACCTCCGGGAGACTTCGGAGGCCTGAGGGGGCGAGGCCCGGGTTCGTGGGCGGGGCAAGTCGAGGGAACTGGCGGAGAGAGGCGGGGCTTGTGGGATGGGGCTGGCAGGGACCGCGAGGCGGGATTGGGGGCCGAAGAGGCTTGTGGGCGGGGAAAAGCGTCCTCGGGGCTGGGCTTCAGAGGCGGGGCGCGGGGGGCTGGGGGCGGAGGCCGCACCTTGTCCACCAGGCCCTCGGGGTTGAGCAGCGTGGCCCGCGCGATGGTGTTCACCTGCAGCGTGTAGCGAGTGTGGGGGAGCAGGAGCTGCGGGCGGGATGAGCGCACAGGAGCCGAAGGTCAGGGGAGCAGGCCGAATCGGCCCGCCCGCTCCGGCCCCCCCCCCCCGGGGGTGCCCACAGACTTTGTAGATCGGATGGCAGAGCGGCAGCTGGCGCAGCGTGGCCATGGCGAAGGCCTCGCACAGCAGATGCGTGCACAGAAAGTGCGTGTTGTTCTCGTGCACCAGGAACTCGGAGTTGCGCACCCACGTCTTGGCCAGCAGCCAGTCCCAGTAAGAGTCCGTGGGCAGAAAGATGGGGCTGTCGGGTCCGGGGGTCTGGCTGAGCTGCGCCCCAGAATAATAAGGGGGTGAAGCTCAAGACTGCTAGCGTGCTCCTGAGCCCGCCCCCGCCTCCTGCCCTGGCCTCCCGCCGGGGCGCTCACCTGGATGGCCAGGGGCACCAGCGCCCCCTGCGGGTTAAGCCACAGCAGGCAGAGCGGGGCGGCCACGTACTGCGGGCGGCCGTTGAGGCAGTGGACGGGGGCGTCGGCCAGGATCCAGTAGTCGGCTAGGAAAATGTTCCCCCTCTGGGGGAGCACACAGAGGCTCACAGCGCCCTCCGACTCGCGCGGCGCTGCCCTCTCTGTCCCCCGCCCACTCCCACCCCAGCCGGGGCCTCAGTATGCTCGGTGCCTGCGCTCCTGGCTAGAGTTCGGTACCCCGCCCTCCCCAGAATGTCCGGAATGAGGTCCAGCTGAGTCCCTGGGTCCCACCCGCGGAAGCTGGCGTCCTCTCCCAGGCCCCCCCATACCTGGTCCTTCCTGCTCTCTCAACTCAGTAACCCTGTCAGTATATCCCACAACAAGAAAATGACCTGAGAACCGACTGCCCCATCTCCAGCCTCCTGGAGGCTGCCTGAGGGCTTGACTGCCCCAGAGAGACTGATGATCATCTCCCCCCATGCCCTCCGATCTCCTGGTCTCCATGACTGTTCTCTTGTATCCAGAGGCACTGCCTTCCTTCCACCTGTCCTAAAATCGCTTTCTTTGGGCCCCAGCACTGTGGATCTTGGAGGCCCCAGAACACAGTCAGGGTCTTCTCTTCCATGCCATCCCGCTCACGTGTACCATCCCCCAAGCCTCCCTCAGGCTCCCAGCCATGCCCAGCCCCATCCAGCCACCCTCCCCATCTTCTCCAACCCAAAGGTGCAGGGCAGGCTGCAGACACAGCCATCCCACCGCTCCCCACCACGCCCATCCCTTGTTAATAATGGCAACTCACCCACCTCTAGTTCTGTCTGCAGGCAGGTGTCGGGTCCCAGCAAGGGGGCCACCATGTCATTGGTGACGGGCAGCTTGCTGGGCAAACTGGAGAGGCAGTGGAGCATGACGGGGTTGACGCCGTTTAGGTACTGGTACCCGAAGAAGGGGTCCTCGCACCAGTGCTCTGTAACGTACTCTAGGGGGCAAGACACGGGGCTGCTTGGCCTGGAAACCGCTTCCCAAGATCCAACCCTTGACCGTCTCCGCGGCAGGGAGAGTATTTCTCTGGTCCTCACTCCCCTATTCCTGTCCCCTCCCAGAGGAAGGGGATGTGGCATGAGCTCCTAAGGGGAATCGCCCAGGAAACCAGGAGCCCCTCGTCCTGCAATCCCGCAGTGTCTGTGAGAGGGCTGAAAGAGAGCCCCTTCCCAGGATGGGGCGGAAGACTCCGAGCATGGGCTTGGGGGGAGGACGGACATCTGCCTGCCTCTGCGCACCCGAAATGACCGTCTTGTGGCACCAGAAGATATTCCGGATGTCATCCAGCTTCTTCCAGGAGCCCTTGCGGTCCAACAGCCCGCGGAGCTTCATGCCCAAGGACCTGCGGGGGAGGGGAAGCAACGGTGGGGTCTGGGGCTGCCTGGGGCACTGTGCCCCCCAGCCTAGAGGCCTGGAGGGACCCGACCAGGTCAATGTCCTGATCAGAGGTGCCTAACATTGCGCCCTCGAGAAAAGTCTAGTGGCCCACCGAGGCTCTGCAGGGGTGAGTCCATATGTGAACACCCAGTCTTCAATGGAGCCTTGGCCTTTCTCTAAGATTCAATCTAGTCACGGACTTTCGCCAGCCTCTGTCTGGCCAGGACGCCTGCCACCAGCGGTCCGGACCAACCACAGCCTTCTCGCGACCCATCATAACCGGAGATGTACTTTGCACACCAGACTGGGGGGGGACCATGCACTCTTCACTTTGTGGGTGTCTGTACTGTTTGAATTTTTTGGAGCTGGGCCGTCCTCTCCACCTTCGATCAAACCTAGCCAAGACACAGTCTTGTGTGCCTTGTGTCTTGTGAACAAGACACAAGCCACGGAGCACAGCCGGACGCCACGTAAACACACACCTTGTGTGTATCTTCCACAAAAACGCTCCTCCTTCCCTGCGTGACACAGTAAATCCACATCCTCCAGCCATCCTCTATTGCACATAACACCGTGGGCCCCTTAGGGCCAGGAGTGGCCCGGGCCTGACATACTGATTCATAATAATCACTCACCGACTGCACCGAGTCAAATGGAAGGGAACGCACCGCCTACCAGGTGGGTTTGTGGCAATCAGTGGGGGAGGGAGGCAGGGTACACGTGCTCAGGTGCCCAAAGGGTGTGGGCGCCATGAACTCACAACCCCAGGGATGACTTCCTGAGTGTCCCCCGAGCCGCTCTCGGTCCACAGCATTTGCCGAGCACCTGCTCTGTAAGGCCCCAAAGAGGGGAAACACTGGGTGGGAGCTCAGTGTTAAAGCAGAAAGCAAGGAGGGGCACCTGGGGGGCTCAGTCTGTGAAGCCTCTGCCTTCAGCTCAGGTCATGATCTCAAGATCCTGGGATCGACTCCCGCCTCTGGCTCCCTGCTCAGCGGGGAGCCTGCTTCTCCCTCTCCCTCTGCCCTTAGGGATAAGTCTTCTTATCAGTCAGGGTCTTGTTCTCTCCCTCAAATAAATGAATAAGTAAAGTCTTAAAAAAAAAAAAAAGTAGAGGGGCACCTGGGTGGCTTAGTGGGTTAAGTCTCTACCTTCCACTCGGGTCATGATCTCAGGGTCCTGGGATGGAGCCCCACATTGGGCTCTCTGCTCAACAGGGAGCCTGCTTCCCCCAACCCCGCCTCTCTGCCTACTTGTGATCTCTCCCTTTCTCTGTCAAAAAATAAATAAATAATCTTTAAAAGAAAAAAAAAGCAGAAAGCAAAGAGGCAGTAAAGGAGAAAGAAAGTATCTTCCTTTTCCAAGGGCCTGGTGCCATTGTCCCACACTGAGACCAGCTACCACCCCTGCCCTCCATGGATCCGAAGTGGCTGCCGAATGTGTGCCCCCCCGCCCCCTCTGCCCATGGGCCCTCCTCTGAGCCCCACACAGGCTGTCCTAGTGGTCTCCCAGGCCTTCCCTTGCCTAGACCCACATGTCCATCTGGGGACCAGCTCAGGGGACGCTGATCCCTCAGCCCTGCCCAGGCCTGAGGCCCGAGCCACCTGCGACCACCTTGTGCTCCAGCCCAGACACTCCCCGGCTCCCCGCTCACTCCACTCTGCCCTCTTCCTGCTAGTCCTTCTCCCAGTCAATCAGGCACAGAAGCCCCGAGGAGGAGGACCCAGCCCTTTGCCCCAGACTCCTCTGGGCCTTCTAAGGCAGTCCCCGCACAGATGGTCAGCCAAGCCTCTCCGTCCTCCAGACAAACCAACCTGACTTTGCCCAGGATTCGCCCTCTCTCTGCTCACCTCTCCTTTCCATGGCCCAAAGCCTGCCTCTGTCCCACCTGCCTTCCTGGGAGCCACCGGCTGGCCCCTGCTGGCCCCAGACTGACTCTGGACACGAGGGTTGATGGCACCCCCTCCAGAAGAGCCACAGCTGTGGACTCCAGCTGCTAAAGGCCCCTCTGGTTCCTAATTAGCTGTGCCACACATCTCCCTAGGGACACTGAGCTCCTCATGGTGGAAGATGACCTCCTAACACTCAATCACATCCACTGAGAGAGGTTTTGTGCTAGGTGTCATCTCACTCTCCCCCAGACCTACGATGCAGGCAAGGGTGTTACTGTCATTTTACAAATGAGGACATGGTTTAGAGGCCATGTGAAGACCAAGGTCACCCAGCTGGAAGGTGTGGGTTATGGGATCTGAACACGAGGTGGTCTGACTTCACTTCCTTAAAGCTTTAGGACCTGCCCTCCCTGTCCTGTTCAACACGGTCCCACCTACAGGGCCCAGGACCAAGCTCTGCACTGAGAAGGGTCTCGTTCATTTCATAGATTTGAGGACTGGAAAGAGCGGGGGTGACAAATGAGCAAAGAGGAGGTGATGGAGAGTCAGAGAATGGAGAGAGAAGGAGGAGACTGGGGACAGAGGGGGGAGAGCAGGGACAGAGAGGGGGAGATCGGGGACAGAGAAGGGGAGACCGGGTCAAGCTCAGATGAAAGTTAGGGTTACACGAGGGTCCTGATCAGAGCCAGGACCCCAAGGTTGGATCTGAGGTCAGAGTTAGCGACTGTCTGATGGAGACCGGGACAGAGTGGGGGAGACCGGGGACAGAGTGGGGGAGACCAGGGACAGAAGGGGAAGATTGGAGTGGATGAGGGAGACAGGGGACAGAAAGAGGGGCCAGGGACAGGGGCGGGGGGTGGGGGGGGACAGAAACAGAGCTGTGGATATGCCCGGCAGGGTGGAGGCAGAAGGGAGAGTGACAGGAGTGCAGGGAGGGCAGTGGCCTCACGCGGGGATGGCATTGAAGAGCAGGGAGGCTGTCTTGGTGGCCGAGTAGCGAATGTTGGGCTCCATGTGCATCAGGGATGGGAAGTCAATCTTCATGGGAAAGCCTGGCAGGTACCGATTCCCACTGCTGTGGAGGGTGGCGGGGAGACAGAAAGACAGACACCGGTCAGACGGACCTGCAGCTCACTCCCCTTCATTCCTTCCCTGGATCATCCCCTGGCTCCGGACTCCTGCCCGACCCAGTCCACTGGAAGCCACATCCCTGCCAGACCCTCGGGGTCACCCCCCCACCCCTGCCCATTCCGCCCCTCACTCTTGGACTGCCGCCACAGACCTCGTTCCCGGCTGTCTGGGCCCCATCGTCCCAGCCTTCAATTCACATCCCTCCACCTTCTTCCCCAGCCTGGGTCCCCCTTCACCTGTCCCCTTGGTCTGCTCGAGGTGTCATCTTGGTCAAGGCAAACTTATTGTCTGTCTCCATCTCCTCAAAGCTGCTGACGTCTATCATGCCGGGAAAGCCAGGGGCGTAAACTTTCCACCTTCCGGGGGAAAGAGGTCAAGGGTGGCTAGTCAAACGTAAGGTAAACATAGACTTCAGCTTTTTAAATTAAAACTCACATAAACTGGGTGCCTGGGTCATTGGGCATCTGCCTTTGGCTCAGGTCATGATCCTGGGGTCCTGGAATCGAGTCCCACATTGGGCTCAGGGGGAAGCTGCTTCTCCCTCTCCCACCCCCAACCCGCGCCATGCCCCCTGCTTGTGTTCTCTCTTTCTCTCTTGCTGTGTGTCTCTCTATCAAATAAATATAAGAATAAAAAAAAACTCCTAGAAACCATCCACTTTCTGGGGTAGGTGATGAAGAATTAGAATTTTCTCCCTGAAGACACTAGGCTTTAGGTGAGGGTAGCATTTTAGGATAACGCAAACGTCCAGACGGGTGCAGAGAGAGGTCTGCGTTGAGATTAAGATCATGGCTGGTTTGGGGGGGTCGCTGAGGCTGAGGCTGGACTGAGATCAGTCAAGGCCAGGGTCATGTCTGACATCCAGGGGCCATCAAGGACAGCTAAGGGAGGGGGATGAGTATGGATTCACTGATGCTATTGGGACAATTGTTGGTACTGGTGTTCTGGGTCTGGACTCCCGGTCAAGCTCAGATGAAAGTTAGGGTTACATGAGGGTCCTGATTGGAGCCGGCACCCCAAGGTTGGATCTGAGGTCAGAGTTAGCGACTGTCTGATGGAGGTTGAGATCGGCATAAAGGTGGGGAAAGAAGTCAAATTAGGCCTCCCTCACCGGTAGCATTCCTGTCGCCCCTGGAGTTCCCGTCTCCTGTGGTCCAGAAGGAGGGGAAGGGAGTCCTGACAAATGGTTTTTGCTGTGGGGAATGAAAAGTACTCATCATACACATGTCTTTTCAAACAACATATCCTCCAGGAAAGCTTGTCAGAATGCCCTAACCTTGAACCCAACCCCTCAGTGACAGGGATACCCCATGTTCTCCGCACATTCATCAGCAGAAGGGACTCAAGGAAACCTCACCCCAAAATTATAATGATCGTCCTAACTGTATGTTTGCCTCCTTTCCAGGACTCTTTGGGGGCAGAAATTATGTTTTAGTCATTTCGTGTATTCCTGGCACCTAGCGTGGTGCTCTGACACTGTGCACAAGCCCTGCTCTTAAAAAATGACTGATGCATGAATATATTTTGGGAAGCGGTGGATAGACGGAAATGCTAGGATAAAGAACCCGCTAGGGGGCTGAGATTTCACCTCTCATCCACACTTGCAACACTCATGTCAACACTTGGACCAGCCCTGGCCATGCCTCTTGGGATCAGATAGCTCAGGAGACGTGGGTGGGGGTCCAGAGGCTGAAGGAGCTCGAGCTCAGCATCCTTGAAAGGCCCCCCCAAATGCAAGGGCAAATCCTAAGAGCACGTCACAGGGACGTCGTCCACACCAGAAAAGCCAATAGTAGTCATCGGCGAGGCCTTTCCAGCTTCCGCACCTGTCGACACCCAGTGACTCTGCTCTCAGCTCAAGTCTGCTCTGGGCGCAGGAGAAATTCACTCTGGGGGAGCGCAGAGGGAGTCGGCCAAAAGCAACCCGGGGCTCTGTATGTTTGCATTTGTGTCTGTGTCTGTAAGTCGTGTGAGCGGCTAAGAGTGTGTGTATCTAGTCTTTGCATCCCCAGAGGGGAATACACTGCCTAGAAAATCCCTGCTGAAATTCCAGGGCTCTAGAGGCTCAATTTTGTTCAGAAAGCATCGACTTGGGAGCTCTGGGTCCCAGTTACCCTAACCCTAACCCCACCCCACCCGCGTTCCTTGCAGCGTGGGCTCCGGGAGGCCCCCACCCCCTGACCCCCACTGATGCCTCCTGCAGCCCAGGCCAGCCCCTGCCTCCTGCCCACCTGTTCCTGGTCGCAGCTCTATGGTGCAGTAGCCCTCAATCCACTGATAGCAGGGGAAGTGGGAACGGGTGCCGTCGGGGGCCGTGACACAGAGGCAGCTGCAGTACCAGGAGTCCTTGGGGAAGAAGGCGTAGCGCTCCTTGTGCAGACGCAGCAGCAAGAGCTCGCCCAGGTCCGCAGAGCACCGCACCTTGTACTTCTGCACCTGAGGGACCAAGAAGCCAGCAGGTGAGAGGGGAGGGACGGCGGGGGCATTCTTAGACCTTGCGGGCGTGCATCTGTGCCTGCTCTGGCATATAAACCAGGGGCCACTAAGCCACGCAGGGCCTTTGCATGAATTAGGAAAAGGCACCCCTTCATCCAAGCAGAAGTGACCACAGCTCCCAGAGGCAGGGCGACTGAGCAGAGTGGATCTTGGACCTCAGCAGCCTCCTTGGCGTCGTGGGGCCTGGTGGAGGCAAGCAGATCCCCTCCAGAGAAGAGGAAACCCCCAACTCACAGAGGGTAAGCGACTTGCCCTCAGCCCACCTCGGATGATGGGAGGAGCTAGGAAGCAGGTAGAGTTCTTCTAACCCCCAGCACCGCCCCCCTTCCTTCTTCACAGCCCTGCCTGGGTAGAATGGATGGGCTCCCCAGGAAAGCCAGAGACCAGAATAGGACGGTGAGGAGGTCAGCGCCTGAGTTCTGCAGGGTTGGAGGAATGACCTGGGGAATGACCCTCTCCTCCTTCAGGGTTCCCTGCCCACCGGGTCTCAGGGGTCCCTCCTCCCTCTCTCGCACTTACAGATCCAGGGGCAAAGTCCCTGCCCAGGCGATCCAGCAGCTGTTTGGGGCTCTCTCCACAAGTGCCCACCAAGGTGACAGAGATGTTGTCCAGCGTGCCAGCCATCAGGTAGGGACCTGTGGTCACACACACGCGGTACACGGCCATGGTGGGAAGGAAGGAGGGATGCCCCGGCAGCGGTGGCCACAGCAGCAGGCAGTCCTCCTTGGAGCAAGGGAGCAGCAGGCCAGGCGGGGCTAAGCTGTGGGGCTGCGGAGCCCCTGAGGAGGGAGCTAGGCAGGGGCAGGGAGGCTTCCCAGGGAAAGCCCCTCTCTCTCTTGGATGCTCCGGGGCTCGCTGGCCTCTCTCCCCCGAAGCTCGAGGTTGCTGCCCCGGCTCGCTGTGGGCTCCCTCTCCCCACCCTAATAGTTGTTTGCCTGCCTCTGACACAGCCGGTCTCTCTGGCTGGCAGGACGGGACTCACCCAGATGGGTATCAGGAGCCCGAGCCCCGCTGGGAAGGGAGGGACCGGGGGCTGAGAGGGAGACAAGGAGCTGATGACACCTGTGTGACTGGGACACTGCCCTGCTCTCAGTCAGAGGCCCGCTGCTACCCTGGGGCACTGGTCCGCCCACTCCCCAACGTGCCCCGAGACCCCTTCCGCCTCTCAGCCGAGCTTGGGCCCAGGGCACCCGCATTCCCTACTTGTGAATCATCCGTGTGAATCAGTCCTCGCGAGGGAGCCATACTCGGCGTAAGTCCCGGGTGACCGCGGCCACACCGAGGCGAATCGCCCCTGCAGAGGACTCAGGCACAGCTCCCCTGTCGCTCCCAACTGCGCACCGCCGTCCCCACGCCCGGTCCCCGGGTCCCCGCTCCGCCGCACGTCCGATCTCGGTCCCTCCGTCGGGATGGGGCCGGCCAGGGGACCAAAGTGGGCTCGCGGCGTCTGAAGGCCCCGCGCGGCCTCGGTTCCCCTCGAGGCCCGCCCGCCGCCTGCAGGGCGGGGGCCGACTGCCTGGGGGTGGGGGGTGCGGCCGGGGCGGCGCGCGATGCCCAGGATCTGGGTCACCCGAGCCGCGGACAAACCGCTCCACCGGGGAGGCCCGCAGCCGGTAGCGGCCCCGTGCGGCCAGTCCCGGCACCGCAGCGGCCCAGCGTCCCCGGCGCTCCGGCCTCAGCCGCCCAACCACAGCCGGGAAGGTGCTGGAGAGAGGCGGGCGGAGCGCCGGCTGCAGCCGCTGGGCTGCTCCTGCTCGTTCCTGGTGCGCGCCGGGGACGCTGTGCTCGTGCGTGCCCTCGGCCCCGGTTTCCGGGAGCCGGGACTTCCGCGGGTGAATACCTCTTATAGGTAGGAGCGAAAAGTCTCAGCAAGAGCCCGGATAGCTCAGTCGGTAGAGCATCAGACTTTTAATCTGAGGGTCCAGGGTTCAAGTCCCTGTTCGGGCGTCTACTTTTTTTCCCCCCTCTTTTAAAGAGGAGGCGTGTTATCTGTATTCCTTTAAACAAAACCAAGGGCGGGGGGAAAAAAAGATAACAAAAGTGCTGTTACATGTTTCTGCGAATTTAAACGTTCAAGTAGGCACCTTCGAGAATGAACCAGGTGAGATTAATTTTAATAACATTTTATTTAACCCCATGAGATCTTACCATGTTAACCCGTAATCAGTATTTTTAAATTGTTAATGGAGTGTTAACAATCTTCTTTTCAATAAGTATTGTGTCTTCTAAGTATAGTGTGTATTTTACACATCACCGCGCATCTCAGTTCGTATTTCAGGTGCTCCAGGAAAGTGCCCATCGGTTGGGGCAGGTGTTTTTGTTTTCTTTTGTCTTCTGGGAATGGCAGAATGGGGGGGGGGCGGGGATGCGCAGAGCAAGAACTTCAGTAATATATATGCTTCCAGAAAAGCAATTGTAAGAGTTGGTTCCATGGTGTAATGGTTAGCACTCTGGACTCTGAATCCAGCGATCCGAGTTCAAATCTCGGTGGAACCTTTCGTTTTTTGCCTCTACTCCTACCACCCGGGCTCTGTTATTTATCAGTTTCGTGTATGAGCTTCCCTTGTCCCCGGAGAGGACCTGAGAAGTAAAGGAAAAGAAGGCGCTGTCCTGTGGGCTTCCCAGACTGAGTAATCGGAGCCTCCTGCTCACCAGCAGAGCACACGGTCAGCACTTACAGATACAGCAAGTTGCGCGGGTTTTGAGAGAGAAGGACGCAATTTCAGGACACCTTACGAAGAACCGAAGGTCTCTCGGGCAGTTCCCACAGGGTCCTGCCTAGCACCACCCACGCCGTCCCGCAGACTAGGGAGGAGATAGTGCGTTGCGACCCTGCACGAAGTCCTCGTAAAAACGAGGAGCATACATCCCGCGGGGAAGAGGCGGGTTGTTTTGAGTTCTAGGGTGCAGAGGCCACCAGAAAAACTCCATCTTGGCAGCGGTGGGATTCGAACCCACGCCTCCGAAGAGACTGGAGCCTAAATCCAGCGCCTTAGACCGCTCGGCCACGCTACCCGCGTGGAAGCCAGTTCTCCCCGCGATCCTCCTAAGAGACTAGAGGGGCGAGACAGGCCTGTGGTAGCCGTGCTAAGTCCCTGGGCCTTCTTCGGAAACCGCAGACCCAGGAGCAGCGAACGGCGAAACAGAGAGGAGGAAATTGAGACACACGGATATTTGCAGCGAAACAAGTTTATTTTCGTGGGTGGGGCCGCATCTGGGGGCGGGGTGCGCCTGGGCGGGAAGCACCCCCCCCCCCAAGCGGGCAGCTGGAGCCCTGTACTCGCTCGCTCCTGTTCGGTTGCTCTCGCTCCGTGTGTCTTCCACCCCTGCGCGCCCGCACTGCCACTTGGCTCTCGCGCTTCTGGCCCGCTACCTCTCCCCGGCAGGCCAGCGAGGTCCCAACCACGCTCTGCGGGCATGCCCCGCCCAATTCCCTCACACCCCTCTCCCTCCCCGCCCCTTGCCCATGCTAGTACCCGTAAGCCGTCAGACGCCGCCGCCCGCCAGGTGGCTCTGTGGCGCAATGGATAGCGCATTGGACTTCTAGTGACGAAAGAGCGATTCAAAGGTTGTGGGTTCGAATCCCACCAGAGTCGATTTTATTTCAATTTTTTTTTTCCTTCCCTCTTTATCTGGTTTTTCCTTAAAGGTTCCCATCCCTGCTCCCCCTTCCCTATTTCAGTGTTTTCCACCTGTTTCAGCTCCAACCTCAGTCTCCTCTCTGCTCTCTTCTTTACTTACCTGTCTGCCCCGGGGCTTGGGCCGTGGAGAGCAGGACTGGGAGGGGCGGGAGACAGAAGGAAAGGGAGACAGAAGGAAAGTGGGCGTGGACGCCGACATAAAGGCAGGCCCCTGGCTCGGGGACACACGGGGATTTAATAACCACTTTATTCCATGCACTAGGGACTCGGGAAGGGACTGGGGCTGGGCCGGGGGCAGAGAGGGTACAATCCTAGACGCAAGGGGGGGGGCAGGGAAAAGGGACAGAAACCGGGGAAATATATATTTATATAGATACTCTAATATAGACCACATCTCACCCGCGCGCTGCGCCCGCGCGCCCCGCCGCCCTCCCCAACACCTGCTCGCCCCGACGCCCGGGTCCCTCTGCTGCCCTCGGGCTGGAGTCTCTACCTCACCCCCAGCCCCCGCCCCCACCCCACCCCCCCAAAGCTCAGGGCCAAGGTCTCCAGAAAGCGGGCGGCGGGGGCGGCGGGGCCTTGGGCGCCCCGTCTTGTCTGTGCGGCGGCGGCGGCGGCGGCGGCAGCAGTCCGGTGAGGGGCGCCGGCGCGCCGCAATCCCCGGCGCGGGGCGAGCAGGGGGACGGGGACCAGGCGCAGCGCGGGCTACGGGAGCCCTGGTGCACTGGGGGGGCGCTGGTGCAGCGCGGGGCCGGGCGCCGGGGCGGCGGGGTCCAGCGGTGGGCGCGGCGCTTGGGGCCTGGGATCTACCGGTTCCGGCCGGGGCGGCTTGGGGCGCAGGTAGCCGTGCAGCGCGGAGAAGAGCTGGGCGCGGGCGGCCGGGCTGGCGTCGTGCGCGAAGGCCGCCAGGCGAAGCAGGCACTCGCGGAAGCCGGACAAGTAGCAGCTGGCGAGCGCCTCGGCGTCCTGGGCTGGGGACCGGGGAACCCCTGGAGCCGCGGCGGCGGGTGCGGCCGGCGGGAGCGCGGGCGGGCAGGGCAGGGGCCCAGCAGGGGTGAGGGGAGGGGCGGGGCGCAGAGATACCGAGGCGCGACAGCCGCACAGACAGAGACAGGAAGCCAGATGGACGGACAGAGGGAGAAAATGAGGGAGACACAGAGACAGACACGCGCGGGTGTTATTAACCTCGCCTCGGAGCAGAGCCTACCACTCCCAAGCCCACCGTCCATCGCAGGGTCCGCCCCAGCTACCCCGGCCCGGGCTTCTGTGAATCCCCCCTCCCGCCCTCCGCTGCCCCACCCCCGCGCTGTACCCGGGGGCTCCACCCGGCTTCGCTCCCTCAAGTAGCCCACGGCGAACTCCAGTATCTCTGCTTTCTCCAGCTTCGGATTGCGGAGGTTCTACAGACGGGAGGGGGAGGGCGCAAAGACAGAGAGGGGTGGGGAGAGAGGGGGAAGTGGCAGGGGGAAGAAGGGAGGGGGGATGCGGGAGCTGGGGGTGCCCCCGATCGCGTGTGCGCGCTGCCCACGGAGCGCGCGACCGAATGCGGAGTGGCGATGACCAAGAATGGACCCGGGAAACCGTGAGACTACACCTTCCTACCCGAGGGCAGGAAACCAACCCCCAGTGCGAGGAGGGGGTTTGAAACAGCAAACCCGGGGACTGAAATTAACCACCCTGCCTGCTGTTCTGAGGGGGTGGGGAGGAGGAGCGTTTACAGACCCAGAGGTTGAAAACTGACCGAGCCTGGGAGTGAAATTTACAGGGCCGGGTGTGAAACTTACAGACCCGAGGGGTGGCCATGAAGATCGCGTTCTGAGAGCGAGAGGGGGCTCTGGGATGGGATTCCAAGGACGGGGCTCGGGTCAGGATGCCTTGGGGCCTGGGTCGCCAGTGCAGCATGTGTCCCCACCCCAGAAGGAAGCCCTGGGACGCGAGGACGGGACGCTGGGGACGGTCCGGGGACGGCGGAAGGACTGACCTGGTCCCGGGTCCGCTCCAGCAGCAGCAGCCTGAGCTCTTCCAGGCTGCGGTTGATGCGGTCCCGGCGCCGCTTCTCCACCAGCGGCTTCAGCATCTGCGACCACCAGGAAAGGGAGAGCGGGCCGACCGGACCGAGACTCAGCGCGGCCGCGCGGGCGTGCGGATCCCGCCGCTGGGAGAGTCCCAAGCCCACTCCTTCCCGGACACCCCAGAGAAAGCCTCCGGCCGGGCCCTTTGGATCCCTCTCCGCTCCCCCTCCCTCCCAGAGCCCGCAGGGTCAATGTCTGTAGCTCGCCTCCTCTCTCTCCCGGGTCTTCTGCATTCTCCTCTCTCAGTCTTGGCCTCCCTCCTCCCCTCTGTGTCTCTCCTTCTCCTCCTCTTTTCTCTCTACGTCTCCGTCTCGTGCAGTCTCTCTGTCTCAGTGGAGAACTTTGCGGGCCCTCTTTGCGCCTAGACACGTGGCCCGCAAGGTGCCGGGCTCTGAGTTCCGGCCCTGAGTGTAGAAAGGGAGATACCCAGGGCGACCGCGCCTCCTCTTCTCCCTCTAACCCGTCTATGCAGTCAGCTTTCTCCACTGCTTCTAAAAGTTTCCACCCAGTCTCAGGCCTCTGGAACCAGTGCCTTCCGGGCCTTCTCTTTAAGGCTGCACTGGGCCCACTCTGGATCACGACGCGCGCGGAGCAAGTGCCTCGCCTCTCCGCTTTTTGTTTCCACCCGCCTCCCTTAGCTCTGTGCTCCCCTCGCTTATTTCACTCAAATTCCCGGCTCTCCACGCCCTGCAAGCTGCAAGGTGCCGCGTCCCATTACCCAAACCCAAGACCTCTACTTCTGCTGCCCACGCAGCCCCTGCTCTGACCCCGTCCCCTTCTTCATACTATGCAGTTTCATTCCCAGCTCCTGGCGCCCTGGGTTCCCCCATGCACCTCCCCCCCCTTCCAACCCTGCGACTCCAGCCTCTTTCCTCACCCAGGGTCTCAAGGACTGGGTCCCCGGGCGGGACCAGGGACCTCTGCTCCCTTCCCTCCCGCCTCTCACCTTGGGGCCGTCCCTATTCTCTGCTCGATCCCGAGTGACCATCGCTCCTCCGGACCCTGGTGTGGACCGAGCCCCTGCCCTCCGGGCTCCTTATATCCCGCGGGCTCCTGGGGTGGGGGGGGGGCAGTGTAGGACCCGGACCCGCCCCCTTCGGCACCCAGCTCCCTCCCCGCGCGGCCCGGGGCACGAGGCTCCCGGAAAGGGGAGGAGCGCGAGGGGGGAGGGGAAGGAGTGGAACTGGCCTGGGAGTGTGGGAAATGAGGGGCCAATGCAGCACCGGCTGGTGTAAGGACCCTTAAGGCTGTATAATGAGGCGGAACCCAGCTGAAAGGAGGAGGTTATTAGGGGGAGAGGGAGGTGAAGTGATTTGGGACCGGCCTCAGGAATGAAGTTCAGAGGTGCCCCCCCCCCCATCGCAGCTTTCTTGGGAGTTCTCTGTCCCCCCCCCACTCTGAAATAAAAGTCAGCATCCCTCAGCCCGCAGACCGGACCTTATACACCTTCCCCCAAAATCCACCTCCTAATTGGGTAAGGGAGGGACCTGAGCGTGCTGGGCTAATCTGAGTCAACTGGGGCCCAGCCCGGAGGCGAACGAGTCTCCCTGTGCCATCTTAGTGAACCTTATTCGATTCCCTGAACTCTGGGCACCCTGGTCTAGGCTTGGGTTGGCGGAGCTGACATAAGCACCAGAGGCCCAGTTTATTCCTTACAGGACCAAGTGCAAAAGCCGGTGTGTTATCAAGTGCCACAATAGAGCATAGTGAAGTAGACACTGGGGAGAGGGTCACAGTGCCTGATGGCTGGACTGGGAAAGAGCGTGACCCGCAAGAAAGAGGGAGCAAGGGTGGAGAGACCTTCCCACTTAGAAGTATTTGATTCAAAACTAATTATAAGAGGTTCCAGCGGTGGTTTCCAGGCCACCTGACATAAGTCGTGTTCATATTGCTTGCTCCTGGGGACCCCTCCTGCGGATGGGGGAGCAGGGAGCAGGCAGTTTTCTAAAGAAATAAGAAAGATACAAAAAGCGATAATCAACACCCACCTCAAACCAAGAACACGACCCTCTGCAGAATGGTGCGTGAGCACTCGGAGGCTTCCGGATAAAATGTCTGAAAAGATAAAATCAGAGATTTTCGCGGGTCAGCCGGACTGCCCCGGACAAGGACGCGCAAAGACAAGGTTGCAGACCCAGTCAGAAGATAAGCTGCGGAGTCAGAGGCCGACGAGGCCCTCCCGCCCTCCCAGGGCCTCTCCACACCTTGGGGTTTTGTTTTGGTTTGTTTTTTTTTCTCGGAGCCTGCCTCGCCAAAGCCCGAACCCGGACAGACGCAGACCTTGGGGAGGGCGCTCCCATCTGGGATCGGGGCCTCCGGTCTATCCCACCTCCCCCTACCTGGGCCAAATGGGAGCGCAGATGTGTGGTCCCCAGCAGCCCCCCTCGCCCCCCTCCTTGGGAACCTGCGCTCGGGCTGAGTTTTTCTCACCTGCACGCGAGGCTCGGGGCCCCGGGCTGTTCGCACCCGGGTGTGGGGCCGCCCCTGGCCATATGGGGCGACTTTATGGCCGGGCGGCGGGATCCGGGCGGGAGGAAGGCTAGCCTGGCGCTCCACCCCAGTCAGCTACCCGGGGCCACTCCTCCGCCGCGCCCCCGGCCGGCACCTTCGGCCTGGGCACCGCCACCTCCACCTCTTCCAAGCTCAGGTAGAATCCCCCAAAACCAGTAGCCACTTGCATTGGTGGTTCAGTGGTAGAATTCTCGCCTGCCACGCGGGAGGCCCGGGTTCGATTCCCGGCCAATGCAGAGTCTCGCCTTTTCTTTCTTCTCCTCCCTCTTGTCCCCAGATAAGGAAGAAGTCTGATAAAATGTATGAGAAGCATCTCCGTCTAACATTTCTAGCAAATACTAATACTCGAGTGTTTTACCCTATGGCAGAGTTGGAGGCTCTGGGTTCCGATCAGGATTCCCAAGGTCCTCCCTCCAAGCCCCGTGCCTTCCACACCCCTCCCTCCGCCCCCCGGCCCCGCACCTCCGCAGGCGTGACCCTGAGAAAGGACCCGCCGCTCGGATCCCTACCCCGGGGGTCCTCCCACCGTCCGCGGGGGGAGGGGCGGGGCCTTCCCGCCCTGCGCTCCCCAAGTCCCGGCTCTCCTGGCCCTTCTCTTCCGCGCTCGCTCTCTCCTGCCTTCTGTTCTCTCCGAAGCGCGCTTGCTTCTTCCACGTCCGTGGGGCCCGGCCTTTCGGTGCCGCCGGCTTCCTGGGCCGCACCCCTCCCCGCCGCGCGCTCGGCGGCCGCATCTCTCGCCCGGTGTCCCGGCAAGTCCGCGCGGTCTCGCAGGGTCTGCACCTGCGTCCGCGCGTCTCTAGCTCCGCAGCTCCCGCCCGCGAGGCTCGTTTCCGGCGCGCCCAGTCTCTGATCTCTCGTCGTCTCTCCAGGTCTCTGTCCCTTCCAGGCACTCTGCGCTCCCACGCTCCCGCCGACCCCTGGGAAGCTCGCTCGCACCTCCGGGCTCCCCGCCGCCTCTCCGCCCGCCCCTTCCCCGCCGCTTTGATCCCGCACGCGTCGGGCCGGCGGGCGGCCGGGCGCCCCCGCCAGCTGCTGCGGCCACTTGGGAGCGGGGCGGGAGGGGGGACGGAGGAGGAGATGGTGCGGGGACGACCCCGGCCCCCCCCGTCCCCGGCTCGCCGCCGCTCTCTCCGCTGGGCTCCGCGGCTGCCCGGACTCCTGCGGGCCCGGGCCTTGGGGTCTCTCTCCCGAGCTCGCCCTGGGCCTGCTCGGTCTCGGCTTTCTGCCCTCTGTCCATTTCAGCCTGTCTGTTTCACCTGGGGGTGAATCCTGTCTCTGGATTGTGTCAGTGACGCGCGATGCTCTCTTGGCTACTCGCAGCCGGGACCGTGGCTCCCAGCAGGAAACTGTACAACAATCTGGGCATCTGTCTGCGAGCGCGGCTGCCCATTACTCAGTCGGTATTTATGGAGTGCCTCCTGGGTGCCAAGTACGGGTAGGCACTGAGGGTGCACTGGGTCTGGGCTCTTCTGAACCTGCATTATGGGGGGAGGGGAGTACAGAAAATAACGAAGAACGCAGAAAATAATGCAGTTACTAGTCTGGGGGTGTGGGGTCTGGCTACTGCAGGGGCCAAGGTAATGGCTTGAGAGCGAAGTGCTGCTTTTTTTACTCTGGGTGGTCAGAGATAGCCTCTAGGAAGAGGAGATATTTCAGCCCAGCAGATCCCGCAGAAAGAAGCAGGTGACAGACACAGCAAGTGCAAAGGCTCTGGGGCAGGAATGGACTTTGCTTGTGGGAACTACAGAAGGAGCGCCAATGTCCCTGGCAGGAAGGATTTGGAGTGAAGCAGAGATAAGAGGGAGAGACGGGGCTTTAGAAACTCAGCAGGGACTTTGGATTCTATCCTTAAGTGGAAGAGAAAGCAAGTGGAGGGTTTTAATGGGCAAAGTCATATTCACGGACTTCTCTTTTAAATGACCACTTTGGCTGCTGTGTGGGAGATCATTTGGGTTGCTGGAACAGCCTTCTAGGCAAGACATTGATGTTGGCCTGTACGAGGTGGAGGCAGTGGAGACGGAAGTGAACGGGTTACTTCTTGGTTTTTTGCTTAAGTAACAGGCTGGATGATGGTGCCTTTTACTGCGATGGCAAATGGGCAAATGCTGGGCAAGTGGAGCTTTGGGAAAAGTTTAGAGAGAGAGAGACCAAACATTACTCTCTAGTTAGCTTAGTTGAGATCCCCTTAGACATCCAAGCGGAAACTACAGGTAGGCCAAGGGTATATGAAGTTGGGAGTCAGAGGTAGAGGATAATGTGGGTGGGTCACTGGGAGATAGATGGGTTTAATGCTAAGAGACTAGAGCACCCAGGGAGAGAATGTGAAGAGAAAAGAGAGGGGCTGAGCAAGGAGCTTTGGACACCTCCCCTCCCCCCATCACTTAGAGGCTTGTGGGGGGTTGGGGAGAGGAAGAGGAGGAGAAGGAGGAGGAGGTGGTGGTGATGGAGGAGGAGAGGAACTGGCAAAGGAGTCTAGACAGATGGGGAAGGCAGCAGAAAAGCCAAAGGAGTGGGAGCTTGTCCCAGGCCGGCATCCCTGGGACAGAAAATTGGGAAGCCAGGAACAGCAAGTGTATAAAGGAGGGAGCCACCTAGCTAAGCTGCTGGGAGGTCAGATAGGGATGAGAGTGAGAGCGAAGGGACCATCAGCTTAACATCTTGGACATCACAGATGACCTGGGGGGAGGGGAGCCTGAGTGTAGCCCCACTAAGGGGGACTGACTGAAGAATGGGGGTGAAGGCAGGGAGACAGCAACTGTAGACGTCTCCAGCAAGTTCTGCCACGAATGGTGAGCAGAATAGTGTGTGGCACGCAGGGACACGGGCCATCCTGGAAGATGAAGGGAGTAGCCCAGGAAGGGAGGGCAGGGAGGAGGGCACAGGCAGGACGGTAGACTCCTGTGCCTGGTAGAGAAATCAGCCTCAGGTAGCAGGAAAGGCTCCTCAACCACAGGGAGAGGGGGGGAGTCAGAGGGTGTGGGTCAGCTGGGGTGCAGGAAGGGTGAGACGGGTTCTCCTGGTTGTTCTCATTTCCTCAAAGAAGAAAGAGTCCAGCTCACTGCTGGAGGGGAGAGTGCTTATAAGGTCCTTTGAGGAGGAAGAAGGTGGGAAACATTCATTTGGCAGAGTAGGAAAAGCCTCAAAGCCTCGTAGGCCAGAGGAGTAGGATTTCTTGGCAGGTTAAGTCCATTTGAAATGTGGGATCCAAAGTTTCAAGTGCGGAGGCCAATTCACCACGAAATTAATTAATTTCATACTTCAGGACCCCCCCCTTACACGGGCTTCGAGGGGGGCGGGGAAGGCCCTAGAAAACGTGTTCACATGGCCATGTGCTTCTATAAAACTGGCAAAAATAAGATATTTTAGCTATAAACGGTGAAGACCGTTGTCTCTGTCCACTCTGCCCGCCTGCCACTCTTTCCCTCTGGGGCTGTAGTGGCTGTCACCATTTTAGGATCCAGTTATGGGAAAGGTGACTTGGAGAGACATACAATGTCCAGTT